CGGCCGGGGGTGGGCGCGGCGCTGGGCGCGGCGCTGCTGGCGAGGCTGGGCCTGGTGCTGTACGGCCTGCACCAGGACGGGGCCATGCGGGTGCGGTACACCGACGTCGACTACCGGGTCTTCACCGACGCGGCGCGGCTGGTGACCGAGGGGCGGTCGCCCTACCGGCGGGCCACCTACCGCTACACCCCGCTCCTGGCCTGGCTCCTGACGCCCAACGTCTACCTCGCCGAGGTCTTCGGGAAGCTGCTCTTTGTGGCGGGGGACCTGGCAGCTGCTGTCGTCGCCTACCGGGCCCTGCGGCGCCGAGGGGCCGCCGCCGGCCAGGCCTGCGGGTGCTGTGCCGCCGCCTGGCTCCTCAACCCTCTGCCCATGGCCGTCTCCAGCCGGGGCAACGCGGAGGCCCTGGTTGCGCTGCTGGTCCTCGCCACCCTGTACTTCGTGGAGGGGGGGAGCATAGGGAAGGCCGCAGTCTGCTACGGGCTGGCTGTGCACATGAAAATATACCCGCTGACCTACGCGCTGCCCATAGCGCTCCACCTGCAGAGCAAATGGTGCGGTGGGGAAGGGGCAGTGGATACGGGGTGTGACAAAAAAGCAAAGTTCACATTTGTAGGGTACCTCTGGCAGCTTTTTGTAAAGATGCTGAACCGCGATGTGCTGCTTTTTGGAACGGTTGCTGGATCTGTGCTGGCTGCCTTGACTGTTGCATTTTATCACCTCTACGGCTGGGACTTTTTGGAGAATGCCTACCTCTACCACCTGACCAGGAGGGATATCCGTCATAACTTCTCTCCCTATTTCTACATGTTGTACTTAACTGCAGAGAGCAAATGGAGTTTTGCCCTTGGGCTCGCAGCTTTCCTGCCCCAGCTGCTTTTGCTCCTGGTTGTGTCCGTAGCATTTTACAGAGACCTTGCCTTCTGTTGTTTCCTACACACCGCTATTTTTGTGAGTTTTAACAAAGTATGCACATCCCAGTACTTTGTCTGGTATCTCTGCCTTTTGCCCCTCATAATGCCTAGTGTTAAGATGTCCCGGTGTCGTGGTGTGCTGCTTCTCTTTCTGTGGTTTGTTGGACAAGGCCTGTGGCTCGCTCCTGCGTACTTTCTGGAGTTCAAAGGATATAGCACTTTTTTACTTATATGGTTGGCAGGCTTGCTTTTCCTTTTTATTAATAGCCTCATAATTGTTCAGATTATTTCACATTATCAAAAAGAAGCACAAGTTGCAAAAAAACTCAAACAGCAGTAATAAACAGGCCAAAATCCAGAAAGAGTACTGCTGTCTTTAACAAGGCTTTCCATGCTACCAGCACTTTGTTTGATACAAATGCGTGCACATTGTACTAAATTATGTTGTATGTAAATGATAGTTTAGGTATCGTATGTCAGGGCTGTGAGGGCACTGATTGGCCTCAGTTGCCTTGAGCGGCCCCAGTCCTGCCCTGAGCAGTGTCTGCAGATGTACCTGTCTGCCACGTGGACCTTGAAACTGCATTGTAACCTTCTCTCCAGCACTGTCTCCAGCCCTTACTCTGCTGCTCCTGATGGGACTCCCTGGAAGGACCCTGGACCAGTTCGTCACTTGCCACATTTGGGGCTATGATGGACCAGCACTCAGCTCCGCCTGCCATCTTCAGACACAGCGTGACTGTGCCCTGGTCAGTGAGGTTACAGCCTGTGCCAGGGTCACCCTCAGCTCCTGCTTGTACGCCTGCATGGAGCAGCCCCAATCTTCTTACTCCCTGACACCCTTTTTCCCATTTTTACTTTACTCTGTACTTTACTTGTTGAGGACTGTGGCCTCTGTCTAGAAAAACACAGAAGATTATAAAGGGTTGTTGGAGTCTTGTACATTCCAGTAAGTGGGCGGGGTGTTTTGCAAGGGTTAAGCTAATGAATAAATATAAGGCAATCAATATGTATGCTGGGATTTATTTTTTCTTTTCACAGTAATATTTTAGCTATACAGTGTTTGTGGCCTCTACCTGGTCTGTCTTCAGTGAAGTAGGAAAAAAGTGGTTATTTCATACAAGTCATTAACTATTTGAAATTTTAATTTATTTTAGAATTCAGATATGCCCGCTCATTCAGATACTTATTTTTGCCTTTTCAGTGCCGTTTGAATTTTTGAACATATTTATTCCCCTTGCCATGGAGGAAGATTTTTCCAAATACCTGTCTTGGATCACAGGGATGTATAAAGCAAAAATATTTGTGTTCCTTGCTGCCACAATCTAGAAAAGAGGCCTCTGCTTTAAACTGCAGTTAATTAACAGTTATTGTCGATGTTAACAGTAGCAAATGCAAAGAGTCAAAGTACAGCTAGAATGGCACCTGTGTCCCAAAAGCACGAGAGTTTATACCAATAAGTAATTGGAAATGCAGTTTCTCAGTAGTTCAATATCTCTACTATTAAAAATAAATGAAAAAGAAAGTGAAAGGAGTTGAGGAAGTGGAGCAGTTGCCAGAAGAAAAGGAAAGTTTTAAAATACGAAGCTCTACAACCTGTCAAAACGAGGTGTTTGTTCCCAGATGAGACACGAGAAGATGGGGAACTGAGTGTCAGGTGGTAGTGAGAGGAGTTCGGAGCCATTTCGGAGTCAATACTCTCTTCAGGAACATCCTACGAGAGGTCTAGTGTACACAGCCCTTGACAGAGGTGGAAACTGGTGATGTATTTTTTAATAAAAAACTTGAGTATAAATAGACATATGCCAAATTTAAGAATTTTCATATCTGCCTCAGCTTTTAGTTACATCCTATGGGAAGGTGAAACCCTCAGTGTGTAACGTGGAGCAGAGCTTCAAGGCAAGATAACTTCAACCACTCGGTGGGATTCCCAGTGTTGTCAGTGGGAAAGGATGTGGCTGAGTGGGTTTGCCTTCCAGGTTCACGCTTGCCATGCTGCTTCTCTGAATCCTGCAGTCTCCCAAGGCAGCCTTCTTCCCCAGGACTGCAGTGGCTCCCGGCTTTCTTATATACAGGGTTTTCTTTCCTTGTTGTAGTTCTGCCTCGTGAAGCTGGATTGCAGTGTTTTGATCTGTGAATTTTTCCCATTGCTTCTCGGCCCCATTGAGGTGGTTACGTGAAAGGAGAGGAAGCCCCTGAGCCCTAACAGCCCAGAGCCAAAGGGCATGTTATCAGGCGGTGTGATGATGTCCTTACACCGCTCTGGCCCAATTCAGCGGTTCTGATGTTGTGTTAGGAGGAAGGATGATTTCCCCGCTCAGAGCGGAGGGGGGTGGTTCTGCTCCCCCACTGGAAGGCATTCTGGTTTCCCCCACCGGTCTGCACTCACGCTCGCCTTCACATGGTGAAGATCCTGCCAGCCTCTTCTTTGTAAATCCAGAAATTGGATGAGACAACGGATATTCTTTTGACAAACTGTCTTGGTTTTTCGGGCAGGTCTTACAGATGTAGCACTGATTTCCTTCCCCTGGCTTTGCATGGGATGAAGGAAGAAAGGCTTGTAGCACCAGCTTGTCTACATCTTCCACAAGAGGTTTATCAGTCAAAAGACTGGTGGCACAAGCCGCTTTCACACACAGTTTAGTTTTATATTAGTCACTGAAATGGTTTGTATGTGCTATGAGTGTGTGAAGAGAAAGTGTCCCGTGTGGCTTTATTTTCCAAGGTAGTTTGACATGCCCAGTTAGTGTTTCACCAGAAGACTGAAGAGGCTCTTCTGTGCCGATACCTGTATTCACACCATCTCAGCGTGCAGGCAATAGCTCGTTTTCCCTTGCAACGGATCTTCTATTATCCACTATGCATTTTTCTGTTGCAAATAGCATGTTTTCTTCCCCCAAAGCAATGTTTCCTATCTCTTTAACAGACCCAATTACGCTGTTTCCAGACCTTTCCACTCTCCATTTCCCTCCCGCCCCCGGTTGGCAAAGAAAGCAAATGAAAGCCAAAAGGCATTTCCAGCTTCAAAAACCTTTCAAAAAAAAAAAAAGGCATTTTGAGTTACCGTGTTCATGGCAGAATTGTAATGTTGTTTTTTAGGTAAGAAGTAATTTCCTTATGACAAATGCATTCTCGATTCATTAATAGCTAAGTCATTTTGAGGCCTTCTGAAGGCAAGTTCTGTGGCAATAGGGACTGAAGAATACCTTCCCTTTGCAGGTCAATACCAGCCCTTCGGTGATGATTTGAGAAAGTTGTACATAAATAAGTTATTAAAAGGCTTTTATACAAACTTAGATTTACAGTCATCAATTTAATAATCCAGTATGAGTCCCTCTTTTTACAGTTGTTTGGTAAGCAAGCTAGTCACCCAAATGTGTTTGGGATTTAGAAATAATTCAGTGACTCATAAAAAGCTGGATGGGCGAAATGGACTGGAAGAGACAAACAGGAGAGATATCTGAGAGTTTAGATCTTGCAAATCACTCTAGATAGTTAAATGGAATTGAATAACTTTATTCACTGATAAAAAGCATTAAATCAAAATAGTTGTAGCTGAGTGCAGAACAAGTTCTAATTCATGAAGAAGTCACGGTGAGTAATTATAATGCCCTTAAAATTTACCAAATTCATTTCCTATGGAACATTTATTACTTTTGATGGTGTTCAAATTCTTTTGCTTAATGATTTTATGTCCATTTATCTTCTGGTAATTAGGAACTGAAGTGTCTGAATGCTAGCGTTCATTCCCTACCATGGGTTGCAAAATTGTAATGCTGTCTGTTTTTTAAAAAAAATGTTGAAGTGCCCAATGAAATGGGTCTCATTTGCACAAATTTTTCACATTGCACTGAAACCAGCCCTGAAGTGCAAAGTGCAAGATGTGAAAGACAAAGTGAAAAGAAGAAAAGAAATATCGAGACAAATAATATTTTTGCCTTGCTTTTTACACCGTAGCCTATAGTCCAAAGGCTCATGGCTGGATTCACAGGTGACTTTAGTCAAAGCTTCAGCATTTAACAATGATTTGCTGTGAAATTTATAAATGGAATTACTCAAATAACAAGGTAAACAAAAATATAGTAATAAATGTTTCATTAAGTTTTAGTATGAGTGTGCTAAATTACCATCTCTGACACAATAACCATGTACTTGGTCCTTACTAAGTAACTGCCCTGCCTGTGTTACTAGCATTGTATTGACTCCTGTAATAGTAAAGGCAGCAATTATGTGCTCTAAACTGAGCTCATTGGTTTTCTTTTTCAAAGAAACCTTGAAGCTTTTATATTTAACAGCAAGGGGAAACTCCAACATTTTTCCTAAGATTTTATAGAGAATGCAAATGTTAAAAGACAGTAAATTACAAGCAAACTGTTCCCTTTTTTTGGCTGAGAAGAATGAGGCATCTATTTTAAAAGGGCTGCAGAAATGCATAGTGAACACATGGAACTCAAAAAGTATATTCTTCATGTATTTCCCAAAGACAGCTGCAGATGGCATATCCTAATGATAGCAGCATTATGGAATAGGATTATCCTGAACTTAGGACAAACCCTTTACTCAGACTGAAACCCAACCACTCATGCAACTTTCTTGCTTAAGGGTGTATTTATGTGCACCATATGCACAAACCTAAACATCTACCTGCACATACAGGAGCAAAAAGAAAAGTCCCAGTCAAGACACCCTTGAATAACATGATTTTTCGGAGCTGCCCCCTGTAAAACAGGTTTCTTAAATGTTTCTTACATTCAGCACTCAAAATCTCTAGTGACTCTAAAACTTGAACCACATAAATTTTGATGCGTATGGAAAGTAAAAGCATATGCAGCAGGGATCTTGAGTTGTAATAGACACGTTCAAGAACCAGCTAATTCTGACTATATTTGAAGGTGCACATTCCACCAGCATCCTGATGTTCTTCATTACAACAATCCGCACTGGTCACTGTGTAGGAGCCTTGCTTCAGTCTTTATGCATGATGAATGAGGTCAGAGACCTACATTTTGTATTAGTAAAAGTATCAGAAAGTTAAAAATTTTTCTTGAAGCAGTACCATTGGTTGGTTTTTTTATAAACTACATTACTTTTCTGTAAAGACCTTAATAAATCCATGCAATAAATCCATGCAAACCATGCATGGTTATTTTTCAATAACTTTTAAGTCTCTTTTTCATTGGACGCTGTCCAGTATATACAAAGACTAAAATTTGTCCTTTTTTAACGGTGTAAGTCAATAGTGCCTTGTTTCAGCAGAATTCCTCATGACTCTTCTTTCTGGCACGTGCTGAGGCAGGCATGGGCTTCTGCAGAAACAAGAGGTTGCTTATTGGAGGCAATCTTACTTAATGCATAGATAAAGCT